AATGGAGCCCAAGTGTCCTGGCTCCTGGCCATACCCTTGTTTACTAGCTCTCTAGTGGCAAGTCACATCTGTGCTGGCAAGAAATGGCATTAACCCTTAATGTGAGACTGCTCACAGCATGTTCTCACTTTAACACCACTTTACATTCTGCAGATTTAGTATGGTCTAAGTGTAACATGTAACTTCATCCTGAGTATTCTTACGACACTACTTTTAGGGCTTTGTTACATGTTACTCTTAGGCTTTGGTAAATATGTGCAGTGTTATGTAGTATTAAAAGTTGGAATGTTCTGTGAAAAGTTGTACGTTAAAGATTGATATGGTCTCTGACCTCCCCAGCCACAGTGGCAGGGCATTGCTGCCCAGCACTGCCTGGCTACCCTTGGCAGTGGTGACAGCAGCTAGTGGGGGCTGTAGCTCGGCCTCCAGTCCTGGCAGGTCAGTCATGGCAAAGCTCTTGACATGCAAACTGGGGCTCGCCAGCCACGCTGCCTCCTCACTGGGCACCACTGCCTTGTCCTTGGTCTGGCCCTTGGTGCCCTCCTCCTGGTCTGTCATGCTGCCTGGCAGCACCCACCACCACTACTGCCCAGAGGTGGCTTTTTATCCAGCTGCCCTGGCCAACCAGCTACAATCAGCTCTGGGTAGGGCTGCAAGGTGGGGAGAGGAGGTGGGTGGGGAAGGGGAAGGGACGGGCCCTGCTGCCCAGCTCATGGGATTAGTTGCCACTGAAATCCCCCTGATGGCTCCTGCCAGGTGTAACCCAGGCAGTACTTCAAGATGTACCCCCTTTCCAATTGAAGGGATCAAAGCAGGTACATAAGTGCTGTGGGAGGTGTAGGTACCCTCCTTCACCTATAGAGTACACCCAGATCACCAATGGGGACTTCACCATATACCTTTTAATGAGAAAACAGTAGTGGGAATATAACATATATAAACCAGGGGGTATAAGGGACACTACAATGACCCGAGGGGGCAGGATTCAATAAAGGTTAGGTATTTACATTCGTAGACATATTCATCTGGTTGACAAAGACAGGCTTAACAGAATATAAAACACAAATAGCAGTACAAACGATATTCGTTGGCGAAATATAAAATGCACAAAATACAAAATGTCAAATAACAAGAAATGTAGGGCCTAAGTACCTGGAGAGGGGAAAGAGGGAAAACACAATGACCCCCTTCCACTACAACAAGAATTTCTCCCTGTCACTTCACTCACTGCAACTCAACCCAGCTGGCACTTGAACTTAGATCTCCCACGTAGTGGGCAGAAACTCTACCACACAGCCACCAGTGCTGGCACTGCTCCAAGCTGCTAGGGATTTTGACCTTCCAGGAGCCCCTGCTTCACATTGAGTTTCCTGGCCCCTTGCTGGAGGAGCTGGAAGCAGAGCTGGGAACCTCTCAGGCCACTGCTCTGCTTCTTGCTGGAGCTGGGGAGCCTCTCCTGCTGGCCACAGCCTCTAGTAGGGGGATCCTGGAGCCCAGCAGGTTGCCCCTCCTGCTGGCTGCATGCTGTGCTGCTGAGGGTCCAACTTCTGCCTGCAGGTCCTGCTCCTTCAGGCTCTTCTGGGGCAACTGCTCCCACCCCGCTGGCCCAGCTCTTGCCAGCTCTTTGAAACTCCTTCCTCAAGGTCACTCGCTGGTCTCCCCTGAGTCAGCTGCGCTGCCCCTTTTATCCCCCTCTGGGTGACCCGAGGGGCCAATCAGGGGACATGGAAGGTGAGTCTCTGGGGACTGATTGGTGAGGAAAAGGAATCCCAAGCCCTCCAATCATTTCTTACCCTTTCAAAACCCCTGGGCCTAATCACCACCAGCTAGCCCATCACACAGGTATAAGCAGCAGGGTGCGGTGGGGTGAAGTGAGGTAGGGCAGTGCAGGGTGTGCATGTGCATGTATGTGGGGTGCTCCCTGACCATGGCACTCCGGGCAGTTTCCCATGCTGCCCACCTGTAAACCTGGCTCTGCCCCTAATACATTGTTGTAGTTAATCTCAACAGGTGTTTGAGCTTTACAATCTTGCTTTGATCTGTTTGGCTTTAAATTGGAATTGGTGGTTCTTGAAGTAAAATCTTTGGAAAAAAGATGTTAAAAAGCTACATGAGAAAACTAATGAGCTGCAAATTACTTCTCATAGTTTGAAGACTACTGGGTATCCTAATATATAACAATGTACACAAGAAAGAGGAGGTTTGTGAAAACCATACTCGGGATTCTAGTATTAGAATGATTGATTTGTTAGAAAGTTTAAACAATTTGGAGATTCATATTAAGTTTCTGCTTGTTTCTAGGAACAATATCAGGGCAGGCACTTGAACTCTCATTGCAGATTGCTAATTTATTTCATGACACTGTATTTATTTCATGACATTCTGTGCAAACTTTGCAATTCTAAGTCAGTTTTATGTCTTACCTGTGTAACAAATCTTGCATAAATAATTCACAGGAAGAGGGAAAGGTGCTTTAACCAACATATAAGACACCCCAGATAAAAGGCCACGTTTGAAAGGAGCTACACACAATTGAAGAAAACAGCTATGGATAAGAATCTGACCTTGCATTAGTTTGTTTTGTATGCATGCTTGTTGCTGCAGAATTTAAACTGCAGATAGAGAGAGACATCCTCTTCTACTGCAATGATGAATAAACCTTTCTGTCTCTCTCCTGAATATTGAAATAGAAATAGCTAGTGACAAAAGCTTAGATGGGCTAAAAACAATCTTGTAATCTATAATTTTTTATTTCAATAGTAATACTGGTCTTTGAGCTAGTTCAGCGTTGAACTCAACCTTGCTTATAAGCTAGCATGGTCAGTGTTGTTTCTTTTGTAGCATGGTTTGCTTTGTGCTATTTTAAGATCTTAGTGCTAGGGTTTACACTGGATTACCCTGAGTATTTTTGGAAATATGCTTAGAGAAACCTTATTTTTTGCTTTGTGTCTTTTCCTCCCTTCCTTTCTTTTCAACTTCTCCTATCACCAATTTTCTAGTTTAATTGCAAATTAACTGGATGTTCTATGCTACCTTTACTCCCTTTGGCAAGTACTTACTGATCTGGATAAAACCCTTGAAGACTGAAGACACTGGACAATTTAAGTGACAAATCCTTCCTAGGATAAGTAAAGGAATGCCTCATTGATCCCTGGAGGTCTGATCAGGCCCTCTCAGCCTATGGGGGGGCTATCTTGCTTGCATGGATTTCCCTCTCTTTCATAGAGGTTTGGGGAGAGGAGTTGGCCCTGTACAGGTGTGGAACTCCATGTAGCAGGAGGAGATGCGCAACTCCTAGGTTGAAGCAAAGCCAAAGTCAATGTTTAGTCCTTTTCTCTGGATAGATACTGATGTGTTAAGATTCAGTAGCTGGATTCAATCGCATGTAATTTTGGGTAGCAGCTGGTCACTCACTATACTTAGCTCTGAGACTATCAAGTATACCCTGTGGTCCACCCACCTATCCCCTGAACCAGGACTTCAGCCCTCTCAGTTATTCAGTTGTTTAGAGAAATTTCTTCCTAGGGTCCACCAGCCTGTGGTAACTCTGGGTTCCTACTCAATCCCTTAGGGACAACATGGCTAGATAGAAGGGATTGTGGGCTTAGGAAAGGAATTTCTTATATGCCTGCTTTTAAAGAGTCCTAGTTCTGTGGCACACAGCAGACTTTTGAACATAAACCTCCTCAACCCTTGTCACTACTTCATTTGAGTCCTGTACGCAGGTACCCTGTTCTGGTCTTGTGGCGGCGAGGTGCCCCCACAGGCTCTCGAGGGAGAGAGTAGAGAGCCCACGGACCCCAGACCCCGAGAGCAAGCCCCCCAGAGGGGCTGAGCCAATCCCTGCGGGAAGATTTAAAAACCCTGTCGGAGTGGGGACAGGGGGAGAGCCGGAGAGAGGGAGCACGGGCTGGCAGCTCGTGAGGCGAACTCCGGCACGGGGAGGAAGCAACCCAGCCTGCGAGGCTCCAGCAGGCAGCCCAGGGAAGGGCTTTAAGCCTTCTGCAGGAGGCAGACAAGCAGGTCAAGCAGGAGCACCCTTTCAGCCACCTGAAGAGGCTTACACCCAGGAGGCAAGGGAGCTCCCTGCTTGCGGTAGAGGAGAAGAGGCAGC